ACTATATCAGTATATATATATTATATTTTACACAGTTTATTGTTATTGTGACGTAATTCGAGAAGGTAATGATTAAAAATAAAAATGTAGTCCTGGGAGGTGATATCCAGAGTGGTTAAAATATATAAACAGAAATAAAAAAATACTACAAATACATGCGTTTTAAGAACGTTTTAAACTTAATCCAACTAGTTTATGGCGTAGATGATAAAAAAAAAACCTTTTACCGAAATACGATCTTCTGAGACGATATTGTTTCGGTAATGCCTGTATATTATAATAGCTACTCAAAAATCTATACATATCTATATAAAATATACTTAAAGTGATTATAAAGGATTTCGTTTTTCTCCCTAGCAAAATTATAATAAAATCTGAATTGTTTACATATTATTTTTTTTCTATAGTTTATGTATTGTTATTATGTAAACGTATATTTCCCAGTTATGCGACGTCGAAACATAAGATATTACTAAGATATTCGTTCTATACATCTTTGCCTTAAATTATGAATATTATATTCCGAGTGGACAAAGTCAATCCTATTATTTTAACAACAATTTTCCAATATATTTTTTGCGTATAGTGCCTTCTGGGATTTGTAAATACCTTTTCGAGTCTCATGATGAAATACTTATTTTTATGGTAAATAAAAGTAAACAATAACCTTGTGGTTTTATTAATAGTGTGGTAAAAATTCTTCGAAACCATTTTAAATCATTTTTCGTATTATTTATCATTTATCATTGCGTTTTCAAAAAATGAATTCTTGAAGATTTATTTAAACGACTGTTTACAAATAAAATTAGCTGTACCCTTTTTTTTTTTAGTCTGAGAAATCTATTTGAAAAAAATTCTTCAAATCGTTGAGCATACGTAAATATTGTATTTTACATTATAACGGTTAGAATATTACGTAGGTACTACCTTTACCTGGTTGTAAGTACGTTGTTTTATTATATTTTGTTACTAATAATATTTGTATATGATATTCATAATAAAATAACGATTGATAAAATATCTCGACGTTCGAATCAAATTGAAGTATATTATACTTATTATCATTATTATTTATAAGTAATAAGTCGTCATATACGTAGATCTAACAGAGGATCGAAGTATTTTATGTTGGTACAATTATTATTTTGGTTTGTGTGCGGATACTTTTTCCGAAAATATTGTTCAGTTAAACATACAGTGGTGCTATCTCTGCACAGCACAAAGTAAAAGACATCCATTTCTAACGTTTCATAGTGAAATTTTACTAAAACTATGTTCAGTATTCCAACGCGTTCGCGCTGCTTTATTGGCAAAATACTGATATTCATCAAACACTTGCATAGTAACATGTCGTATAAATGCTGTTACTTATAACATTAGCGGTGTAATGTTCACTGCGCTAAAATTACAGTAAAACGTTCAGCGTTCCTAAAATATAGTTAGGACGAACGACTTCTTGTTCTTCAGTGATGTCTATTTGCGTAGACGTCATGACATAATATACTAGTGCGATCTTGTCGTTACCCTTTTAGAACGTTTTGGAACACGGTTTTGGAAATAAATTGTGTATAACAAAAACTAAACTATCCGCCCAAATATATTATAAATCATGCGCAGATGAGAAACATAATCATATATACTAGCGGATACACAAAACCGATAAGGGCAGCGTAAGTTTCGTTTCGGTAAAGTTTGAAAAATAAATGTTGTAAAACGATAATGTCGGATTAATTGTCACAAGTATGATAAAGCTATCGTTCGAAATGTATTGTCTAAGACAAGATTATAGCCAGTGTCAATCGTGCAGTATTCTAGATTTCTAATTTATATTTTCTATTGAGAATTTATTAAAAAATATTTTTGGTTCCATTTGACTATCAAAGTGATATGATTTGAAAATTGTATATTGTGTTCAGTTGGTTGTATACAAAATATAACAATCTGATATTATGATCTCATAAACATTGTACATCATCGTAATAATATGTAGCAAGATTTATTTGAATAGAGATATGTTTATTATTTTATATGACTATAATAATAAAGTTATAAATATAACCAAAGTTATGGTTCTTCAAAATAAATCACACATTATAATAGAACTTAATCGAACATTAAGTTTAATATCTGGTAAACTCATTACATACTCGTATAAGACGCTAAACGAGTAGAATTAAAAAATCATGAATTAAGTACAACAATAAGTAGCAATCCAATAAAATTATTCATTGACTATAGTCTATAGACTAGTTGTAAAATCGCATAAATCCAAATTTAGTTTACTTAACCGGAAAGAAATGCATATTATATAATTTAACATTAAATAAAGATTTATCGAAAACTAGACAAATGAATGTGTTTGAAGTTCCAGTCAACTGTCAAGTGAAATAAATGCTGATCAATATAACGTTCAAACATTTTTTTGTACATATTTTATGAATACTGGTCAAATATTTTACAACAATTTTATTTAAATTGACTTCTATAGTTAAATGGTACACACAAACAATATGTTCATATATATATTACTAAATACTGGTAATAACTGCATATTGAATACATTATTACACTACAAAGTACATTATACCTGATATTGTTACTTGTGTCGGAATGTGCATTGTCAATATTAAATTTAAAAACGGTTTCAATCATTATTTATATCGGTAGTTACTGGTATAGAAAATTGGATTTAGTTAGTACTTTGGTAAAAACTCTTTCTTGTAATTTTTAAAAATCAAACAGCGGAAAAAATGTTAATATCTTAGCAACACAACATTTTTGATTGTAATTCAAAAATGAATAATGTAAGGTGCAGTAATGAGAGCAAATGATCATAATATATTGGTGCATTAGTTGACGCTAAACATGGCAAAGAATCCGTACCTTTTTTTAGATGTTTTAAATGTTCTCGAAAAATTATATTACATTATATTATTTTCCAGACATTGTATAATTTTCAATAGATTTTGGTTCTTTTTAAAATTTTTATTAGCGATTGACATTTTTAAATATTTCTTTATTTTATTATTTTATTTCCAACCTAATAAACTTGAAAATATATAATATAAAGTATCCCATACATTATTTGTACGACAATTGAAAAATATCAAAAATATATCGTAGGAAATGTTTCATACGTAGTTAAATTTAACATTTTAATGAAATATGGAAATTATTTCATAGTAAAAAATAAATTCAATTAAAAATGTTTAAATTTTAATATTATTATAACTCAAAAATGTATTTGTATTATAAGATTCTATTTAAATTGTTGTTACTTAAATTAAAATAAAATGATATCATAAATCAAATTTATGTTTATGAGTGTATAAAGTTCATTTTTTGATAGTATTAAATATTTAAATGTGTCATTAATATTTTTATTATAATATGAAACATTTTAACGATAAAAACTCAAACCATTTTTAGTTAATATTGAAATTATTAAGTTTTATGCTAGCATATTTTCAAAAATATTCAGATTAATAATTATGAATAATTAATAGGAATTTGAATTAGTTGAATTTTCTATAAATGTATTACAACATTTTTTTCTTGGTCAAAAGCTTGAAAATATATAAAGCTTTACACAAGTTTCGACATAAAATCTATTTTTAACAACTATGATTATTTAAATGAAAAGTATTATAGTACCTAAAATATTTTTATCTTAAACATTTATGACAGGTAATCGCATTTCCTACGATACAAAAATAGTTGTTTAATTAATGTTTTTGTTTTTTTGTTTATTGTAATGTTGTATAATATTTGGTATCATAAGAGCTTATTGATTAATTTATTTTCTTATTAAATGTCATATTAAATCTCAATTTCTAAGAATCTTCCACTGTTGTCAATTTCAAGTTAAAAGTATTTAATAAAATCATCGTTTAGTTGGATAAGTAATATGGCGTTAAATTCATCGAACACCGTGGTAAAAATAGCCAAAAAGACCGAACTTCAGTCGAAAAATCATGTTTGGTAATTTATAGTATAATGTGTGACTTTAATATTTTATTATTATTCTATTAACTTAAATTTTGAAATCGTTACTGAATGAAAACGATTCGTGTTACCGAGAGATTTGATTTGTATAAAGCGCTAATACCTAATAAAACGGTGCTAGTTTGCGCACATTTATTAATACTTAGACTTTTTTGCGCAAAGATTATTTTTTATACGTCTCATCAGGGCACAGATTATACATAATGTACATTTTTAATATTACAATGCCTATCGAAAGCTTTGGATCCGTTCGTTGTACTTGGTTGTTTATCAAACGATTTTCCAGTCCATTGGGATGGGTTAAAGTTTTAATTAAGAAAAGTATATTAGAACATAAACATAACAAGAGAAACCGTAAACTACATCGGGGTGGAGTAGTTATTACTATTAAATTTTGAAAATATACTATCTTTTTTTTTCTGGTGACAAGTATACAGCAAACCAAAACAGTATTTAAGCCATTTACTTACATCGGAATTATTACGTTTACACTTCCGTAAAATGAATTACTTATCAGAACACGACAAAAATGAGGTTTGCTAAAATGCAATTTTAAAAAAATGTATAACACACAGAAAGGGTGAATCATGAGTATGTTTTTTAGAACCGACATAGATTTATTTTACAATGATAAGAAGTTGACGATTGAGAATGTGAGTACACATACACATTTTGGATTATGTTTTCTACAAAACATTCCAACACACAACATTTTTCAACATTTTGGAATATGTTGTGTTATGTAATAGTATATTTATTTTTTTTTTTTTAAATACAATTTTTCTAGTGGGTAAAAGGCTTTTACGCATTTAAATACATCCAAATAACTTCTGGTTATTGGAAAGTAATATTTTGCATACCAAATATTTGTACGAACGAAACGTAGGTATTTTATCTCGTACGAACGACGAGTTGTTAATTCTATAGTATTTTGTGCGCAAACGAGTTCCTGGTTTTAAATGGAGAATTTTAAAAATGTCCACAAATTTAGTTGTAGCGTTGCGCTTATCGTACCTATATCATCTATTTGAAGTACATTCCAACGAAAAACGTCGATTTGAAACTTCGCGAGTGACCACAGAATACGCGCGAAATTCGATTCACCAGTTCAACTGGGATATAATCTCTCTCCTCCCCATCCCCCCCACCAATACTGGTTTAAACGACGAAAACGTACAGGTATCGCCCGAAATGTTTTTCAAAATTCTCGCGTTTCAACCATAATAACACATTACACAGACGAGCGGCATCAATAATAATATAATAGGCGCGTTACTTTGGCGATGATTTAACAGCAGTTTGACGGGCGCCTGTAAGTCGTGGTCGCTGGACCGTGTGGCCTTGGTGTGCGCCATGCGATTACCGGCCGTGGTCGGCGTGGCCGCGGGCCTGGCCACGCGGCACTGGTGGTACGGGCTAACGGCCGAGGCAAAGGGTCGGTACGCGGACGCGGTCTGGTCGAACCGGCTGTTCATCGCGCTGGCCGTGGCCGCCGGGTTGGGACTGTTCGCGGCGTTCCTGTGGAAGCACACGGAACTGGACCCGCGGACGGGCGGCCGCCGGCTGTTCCTGTTCAGCGACCGGGCGCTGGAGAGACAGGCCGATCGCCGGATGCAGGAGACGCTGGACTCGACGCGCCCCGTCCGGCTGGACGCCGCGCACCCCGTCCACGGGCGCGTGGCCGGCGCGACGTCCCGGATGTTGGCCGCCAACGCCGGGGTGGACGCGATCCGGCGGCGCCGGTGGACCGTGGCGGTGGTGGACAGCCCGGCCGTGAACGCCGCGGTCGCGCCCGGCGGGCTGGTGCTGGTCAACACCGGTCTGACGTCCGCGGCCAACGACGACCAGCTGTCGATAGTCGTCGGCCACGAGATGGCGCACTGCCTGCTCCGGCACGTCAACCAGATCAGCAGCATAGCGTTCGTGCTGGACACGCTGTGCCTGGTTCCGGTGTCCGCGGTCATCTGGGCCGCGCTGCCGTTCTGCTGGAACCTGTTGGCCCACCTGTGGTCGGTCGCCGTGTTGAACGTGTGCGTAGTGCTGCCGTGCGCCCGGTGGTACGAGGCCGAGGCCGACCGCGCCGGGCTGGAGCTGGCCGCCAGAGCGTGCGTGGACGTCACCCAGGGATACCGGTTCTGGGACGCCATGTCCGAGACGGAGGGTCCCGGTTACAAGCTGTTCTGGTGGCTGTCCGTGCACCCGACCAACGAGAGTCGGTCCAGGCACCTGTACGGCTTGATACCCGCGGCCACGGAGCTCCGGAGACTGGCCAGCTGCTAGTCGGGCCGCTCGGGTCCCCTGCGCGCACCCTCTCCTTCGAAATAGTGAGTTCGCTGGTGTGTTCGATTCGAATGATTTGATAGTCTTAAAAAAAAAAAACCACACGTTATGTTCGCACACGATATTCATCGGGTTCGGTAATAATCGTAGATATTGGTAAGTGAATGTTGAATGTTTCGTTTTTGTTCAAAACGATATAAAAAAAGAAGACGTCCCGATCGACCGATCGACGTACGGCCAGCAAGGCTGTGATAGGTAAAGACTTGAAAAAGTGTTGTACCTTCGTACCGCGACGTGAGGGGGTACACCGAGGATTTTTAAGAATTTTGAAGAGGGGCTGACCGCACGGAGTTGTTGACTACCTATCGAAAACGAACGAATATTTGTTTGTTTGAAGGTGTCCGTTGTTGTAGCTGGTTACAAAAAATAAAAATAGTTATTGGACTTAACATTTTATTTTAGATTCATCCCTCGTGTTTCGTAAGTCAAAACCGCCGAAGTTAATGTGTTTAAACTATGGCGTGTAACTTACGTTTAACGGGGTTAAACACAATATTTTATCCTGTGTAAATCAACTGGCATTATTTAGTTTGTCTCAGGCAACGGCATGCAGGATCACCTAGTTAATAATACGATACATTTAAACGAGATATACCTATAGAGTAGTAAATAATAATTAGCAAATCATATTATTCAAACCACAACAAAAGACCTTCGGGCTAATATATCTCAAACGATAGTTTTTAATTATAAAACTACCAAAACTAACATACAAAATGCTTACACGTGGCATCACTTTATATTATTTTATACATCGTAATTAAATCAAAGGCGTGTTTAAATAAAGAAAACATATAAGCTGTGATGTTTTCAAAACGGGAAAACAATGACTTATAATTAGTATAGATACCTAATATAATATGTATTATGTATTACATTAATTTACTTACTTTGAAGTAATAATATTATATAATTAAATTAGCATCGTATTTTATAAGCTGAAAAAATGGGACATGAGATAGTAACAAAATTTAAATTAAATTTATCAAACCAAAACAACTACATAATTTACTATTACTTTATGAAAGTAAAACAATATAATTGTCTTAAAATACATTATTTTAATAATATTAACGAGAATAATTATGATAAATACAGTATTTATAGAATATTTATATAAAAAGTAAATTATAAAAGAAAATATTGTACTTGACGAAGAATTCTGTTTTATACCAATTGTCGATGCATTATTGTCGTATATTTATTGTCACGTATTTATATCGTTAAGAATGAAGAAAAAATCGACAACTACAATAGCGTGGAATACTATATTTTTATTATTGTGTAGTAGGGGTTGGGTTGCATACAATAGAATAGAACAAAACTATAAACGCAAAGATTTTGATGATACAGGGGTATCCGATTTACGTATAATATATTGTATAAACGTTATTACTGCATGCTATTAAAACAACGTCCCCGCACTTTCATAATAATAATAATAAAAATAAAAGATTATACATATTATACAAACATACAAATATCTATATGTATAGTAATTGCGTACTATACTCGTATGTCTATATGTATCATATAGGATTACTCTGATCACGTGATTTATTTTCAATTTTTTTTTTTTTTGTCACCTGTTCGTTCAAACTACGATTGGGCGTTGTTTGTGGGGGTGGTTGAAAATCAAATTTATTTTGATAATATATACTTATATAGTAATGTTAGTCGACTGATAATTTTATCAAACATTAGAATATTCAGATTTGTAATGAAAATTGCAATGAGTCGTGTACTGTAATAGTTAATAAAAAATGTTAATAAAATTTATATTTCTAAGATTAGAGAATATTAATTACTGTATGGGCCGGTAAGTAGATGTGAATTCTTATTAACGTGTTTATTTGAACGAATTATTTTAAGGTAGGCGTAGTGAATTATGAATAGATAATTAGCTAGTAATTTTGCTATGACTTGTTCCAAATTTTAAACTAGATTAGATTAGTTAAATTTATTCATAAATACATACATAGAATAATATATTAAAGAAAGAGATATATAATTTTGATGCGCAGATAATATTTGCGATGCTTCAATGGTTTTAATCAGAATCCACTTGAATCAAGATAAATGAGAATTAGATTTGTTTTTTTTCTTTATAAATGTACTAAGTAACCCCGAAAACGATCTTGGTCTGATGAATAATTAAGTGAATACTAGAAAAGTATATACAAATAGTTAATAATATAACCGTCTATTAACGTCCCAAAGCGTACCTATTTATATATTTTTATGCTTCAATACGCGTTTTATTTTCAGTGCATGGGTTTCATGAATTTTTAGTGTATGACTCAAAAGAACCATAATAGTTTTGATGATTTATTTAAAAGTTTTAAAACAAATAAAGAATTTGAAATAGATGAATATTTTTTTTTCTTATTAGTATCTAATATAAAGAATAAAGACATTACAATTGTTTTAATTTCAAATTTGTTTCATTTTCAAAAGTATTTAACGTAAAAGATAAAATTATAGTTTTGATATTTTATTTTATTTCAGTATTCGTTTGCAAATATAATTATATCCATTTTGTATTTTAAATGTTAAAATTTGTGAAATTTACTAATGAACAGACTAGTTTTTAAATTAATAATGATCATGAACGTCGAAAAATTGATATTTTAAAAATTTGAATGTGAACACACGATTTAATCCGTTTATAAACAGAACAAATATCTTAACTATCCATTAGATGTGGTAGTCGTCAAACTATAAATTGACAACTGTTTTATTAAAATGATTTTTTTCTCTATATTTTGCTTGTACCTTTGTTACGATACATATAGGTCTCAACCATACTATAGTCAGGTCCTGGTTTCGCAGTACAGACACTCGACCCGAAAAATGAATATGATGGTATAATATACTTCGCCGGATGAGGGTCTCAGCTATTATAGAGTAGTATGTCAACTCATCGCACACACGATAAATATATCATATAACATACCTCGTATTATATATATTTATTTAAATCAACTTCAGATGAAAAACCTAGAATTTCACGTTACACTACTACCACTGATTATAAATTCATTCGTAATTATTGTTGTTTTAATGTATTACGTAGAAAAGTGTACCTGCATTTAATGATAACGAGGTAATTAGGCCAGTTTATGCTTCAGTCGGTTGACAATCGTCGAACTTAATTCTGCGTCGTCGTTTCCGAGTCAGTGCGTTTTCCCTTTTCTGTGAAACCATTGCTATTGAAATGTTAAAAATTGAAAGAGAAAAATATATGATTTCGTTCAATGGTTATATTTTTGTATGAGAAAAAGAAAGCGGCGTTTAGTTAATATGAAAATGTAATCAATATTTTAAAAACGAATGTCATGAACGCGTTCATTTAAGTGATGGAAAAATATTAAAATATACCAATCATAACCACATGTCCTAAAATTCAACAGACGCTAATATTAAAAAAAAAAAAATAATAAAAAATAAATAAAACACTTAAATTACTAAAAGAAATAGTTACTTATAACATTGATGCAAGTTCTTATTCTATAGTAGCTACAGACTATAGCATTATCTCAAATCCTTACAAAATATATGGCCCAGTAACCCATATGCATAGATTCAAGTGTAATATAAAACCATGTAGGTACGACGTACGTAAACAACAACTTCAATAATTACCAAACGATCCAATCGATTTTAATTTTACTATACGAGCATCTGACGAAATGATAAAAACCACCAATAATAATCTTTTTTACAATATGACAGTAGTATAATTAAGACCGTCAGAATTTTAATTTTTTCAACAACAAATTTACTAAAACTTTTAGCGAAATATAAAAATCAATTTTTTGATGGCTCATTTTCAAGTGCTCCATTTTTATTTTATCAAATTTATACTACTTGTGTAATACAATAATTAAATGTTTTACCATCAGCTTATACGTCTTATTACACGATAAAAAAAAAAAAAAACTTATAGACATATGTTTTAAGCATTAAAAAAAAAAATATATATTACTATTGGATTAAGTCCTAGAACCATAATAGTTGGCTTTGAAAAAGCTGCAATAAATGCATTTAGTTATGAATTTCAAGAAATTAAAGTAAAATGATACTTTTTTCATTTTTCACTGTGTATATATGGTGATAAGTTTAGGTTGCGGGTTTTCAAACGATATATAAAAGCGATGTATACTACAAGTACGAAAGTTACTAAGTTTAGCTTACGTACCAGGAAATAAGGTAATTTATGCTTATAATTGACTGTCGAACACTGCATATTTTATCGAACATGATGAATCACCGATAGTCAACTATTTTGAAGAGGTTATTGGTTATAATGCGTAATAGACAGACGACAAAAAATAAAAGCACCTAAATTTAACGTTTCAATTTTAAAATGTTGTTATTCATTGGTTTCGAAAAATTTACTTAGGACTAATAATGCAGCAGAAGGATGGAATAAATTGTTCCACTTCAATTTTAAATCAATGTCATCCAAGTATTTGGTAATTATTATTCTTATTTGCATCGAAGAAAAAAGAAGATTTGAATAAAGCAAAACTTGAACAATATATAGCTGGCGAATGTCCACCTGTAAAAAAAAAAAAAATACTTATCAAAGTACAGAGTTTGAAAAGTATTTTCTTTGATTTGAAAAATAGAACTGCCGATAAATATTTATAAGAAATAACACAAAATTTACAATTGTGAAATATAATAATACTTTATACTTAATCAATTTTTATGTTCTATTATTTTAATTTTAACACTAATAATGTTGGACCATTTTTTTTTTTGTTAAAGACTATTTTTAACCACACCTACCTATATCAAAAATAAATATGTAGACAGTACTGAGTCTGTGTTAAAATGAGAAGAAAAATGTTGAATTTAAATATATATATATATATATGTGCGGTGGATTAATCACGATGAAATATTGACGTCGCAACGAATTATTAACCACGACAAATAATTGACGTTACTTAAGCCCGTTATCAAAATCGTTGTTATTTTTCGTTTCGTTTGAAAACCGATCACTGGAAACTTCCGACGGGAGACGATCCTTCGCCACATCATATCGTATTATTATACAACGCACAATATTACATTACTATCGAAACACAAGTTTTTATGACTACGCAGTATCCGCGTACGCGATAAATATTGTCCGGGTACCCAAGGTGACCGTAGAACTATACCAAAGTCGACCGTTTCGTACTTACACCGCCGATGTGCGCGTAGGATAATACGTATATATGTATATAAATGCGACCAGGCGGGTTGTTCGTTCGCATTAGGTATGCGTTTCTTTAGAGCGTTTGGGATGTGCGAAACTGTCGGGACGAGATAAATTGGCAATTTTACCCAAGTGGCGCGCACGCCTATACACACATAGGGGCACACATTTACACGCCGAACACAATCGGAACGCAGTCGGATAATCTTCATCGGGAAATTCACTACGTGACATATCGTCACGCATCATAGGACGACTTTATTAAATCGTTTTTGTACGGTACAACATATATTATATACGATGACAAACACAGTATTCGACGTGGGCTTCGGGATATCGTTTATATAATAAATAGGATGAGACATCGTAGAAAGTCCATTAACCGACGTAATATGCGTAGGAATCGAGAGAGCCGGGCATTGGAGCTCCGAGTTTTCTTTCATGCGCAGTTATTAATCTTTTGAATGTTCGAATAAAAAAAAAAAAAAAGAACAGAAAAAAATTAATCAAAAAGTTTGAAAATATAACACATACCTAAGTGGTTCGTTCATACGTCGCTTTTAAAATATCGATAGTTCGCTGTACGTGTATTATAATATTATATTTGTAGCTCAAATATTTACGAAATTGGACATTTGAATAAAAAATAACGATTCGAAAAAATGA